TCCCAAGAACAACAAAGGTACCTTCAAACTATGGAGGCCCTCCTGCTGCCTTCCAGATGGGAAGTCAAAGTCTCCGAGGATTCAATTGGACAAGAGGATTCATCCTCTCCGACTGGATGACTGTGGGAAGCAAATGAATTTCCCTACACCCTCCTCCTCCTGATCAAGGGCTGAGCTGGGGTCTCCTCACTCCAAGACAGCTTGAATGGCTAAGGCTGTCACTGAAGGCCCCAGGGTGGGCCCTGGGCTACTGAGGAGGTTAGGGCTGAACCCAGGGCCTTAAGCATGCTGAGTGTTATGGCTTGTTATAGTTTGTGTCTAGCTGTCCCCACAAAGCCTCATGAGGTCATAGGTGGGGCTTTCTCAGAGGTGGCTGAATCTAAAGTGTGAGATGCTGGGATTAAGGGTGAGTGATTACTAAATCAGTCCACTGATTGGTTTGGTACCATTCTAATCCCTGTAGCCTTGACAGAGTATAAAAGGGGCAGAAAAAAGTTGCTAAGGTCCTTTGCTTGCTTTTTGCTACCTTCTGCTCACTATGAGCTGTTTCTCCTCTGCAATGTCCCTCTGCCATGCCACCCTGCCTTGGAACCAGCCGACTATGGACTGAAACCTCTACAAACTATAAAAAGTTTTCAATTAGCAATAATTGTGCCTCGGATAAACCTCATGGGCAATGATACTGCCACTGTGCAAAGCTACAAACTGTGAGCCAAACAAACCTTTCCTCCTTTAACTTTGGGTGTTGGGTATTTTGTCTCAGCAACTAGAAAGGTAACTAAGACACTGAGCAAGTACTTTACCACTGAGCTACACCCGAGCCCCTGAATCTGCTGCCCAGTGCTGCCCCTCTGGAGGAGAGAGCTGTAAGGCTGTGGTCTCCCAGCTGTCAGGGTCTGCTCAAGTCAGCCACAGAGCCCAGGCCTCAAACTTGGTCACCACGTCAATTCTTCTCAGAGGTTTATGGAGCTCCTACCCTCTATCAGGCTTAGTGCTAGGCTGAGGATACAAGAAGAGCTCAGCCTGAGGGCAGAGTTAGAAGAACATGCAGCTGCAAGGTCAGGTGGGAGGCACAGTGAGTCAGCTCTACTGTGGGGTGACTCTGTGGCAGCCTAACCTCATTTTGAAATCTGATGTGACTGCCTGTCAGCCTATGCCTTTGAGGAAGCTGCTCAGCCTCTCTTAGAGCCTCAGTTTCCTCATCTAAAATGGGTAATAACAACAATGTTTAAAAAAAAAAAAGAATTACAACCATGTAAGACTTTATGGAAACAAGAGATGACATAATACCAAGGTCTAACCCAATCTAGTCAATTATGACACTGGTATCTATATACCATCCTTGAGAGCGCAGAGGGGAAAAGCAGGGTCAAGCAAGGGGTAGCAGGCAAGGAAGGGAAAAACGTGACCATGACACTGGACCAGAAAGAATGAGGCTGCAGGCTCACTGGGGAGAAGGGCAGGACAGCAGAGGGAACAGCATGAGCCAGGCCAAGGCACAGTCCCTGGTGCACAGCCTGGCTGGGCTGAGGGGGTGGGTGGTGGGTGCAGTTGGCCTGTCCTGCAGGGCATGTGTTCAGGAGGATGGAAGATGATTTGTTTCCTGCCACTACACTAAGCAACACTGAATTGTGTGATGATAAAATTATTCTTTATTTACTCCTGTACTTTTTTTTTTGGTACCGGGGATTGAACTCAGGACCTTGTGCTTGTGAGGCAGGTGGCGGAACTGAGCTAAATTCCCAGCCTGAAAATTATTCTTTTTCCAATCTCTGTCAAGCCTTTGACTCCATCAAAGGGAGTGTCTCAACTTTTACTGCCTAACACTGTGAACCTGACAAGCCTCGAAGTGATCCTTTCCACAGGAAATGTAACCATCAGATCTGTAATGTTGTTTTTGCTTATGAGTATCTTCTACCAGAGCAAAGTGGTTTTCTACTTAAAGAAATGATACAAGTTTTTTTTTTTTTAAAGTATAGCTACTCACTGCCCAGGGTCAGGGATACGTTCTGAGAGAAATGTGTCATTATGTCACTAGTGATTTCCTTCTTATGAGAAAGTCATAAAAGTATACCTGTACAAAGTAAGGGCCATGACACCAGCAAGCAGTGTACTCCTATGGGACTACAGTCATATGTGAGGTCCACCACTGACTGAAATATTGTTATGGGTAGGTGTTTGTATTTAAAAGTGAGTTGCGGGCCGGGGATTTAGCTCCACCGCCTGCCTGCAAACTGCAAGGTCCTGAGTTTGATCCCTGGTACCAAAAAAAAAAAATGAGTTGTTTACCTTGGTGTGGTGGAACACACTGGTAATCCCAACACTTGGGAGGCTGAGGCAGGAGGATTCCCTTGAGTTCCAGGGCAGCCTGGGATACATAGTGAGTTCAAGGCCAGCCTGAACTCCATGGCAACACCGTCTCAAACAAAACAAAACAAAACATCTTGGCAACTCTTTTCAAAGGAAAGTCTTAGAGCCCAACATTCTAGACTCTACGAGACTGACTCTATCCTTCCAAGAGAAATTTCCTAATTCTCACAATACTCCATATATTCAGCCAACATGGGTTGCTCAGTGGCCCATATCCGTCCCTTCTCTGGCCACTTCTCTTCTTTGTTCTGTACATTTGCCTGGAGGGCTCCCCACCACATCTCCCTGTGCTTCAATCCCACCTAAACTTCAAGGCTGGCTCAGCTGTCACCTTTCCAGGTCCTCCAGGTGGCGGATACTCCTGGACCCTCCAATCATCTTCCAAAGCCTGACTTCACCCATGGCGGCCAGTCAGGTCTTCTATCTTGCACTGCCCTGGACTGGCAAGCTGCAGAGGGCAGGGTGCACACGGGGCGTCCCTCTGTGTAAGGGCAACAGAGAATAACCCACACTGGGCCTCAGCAGGAGACCCCAACAGCTTTCAGCCTGTCCCCTAGGAGCAGCATGGAGGCCTCACGGAGGCTCACGTCCTTCAGTCATTCATCCACCCTTTAATCAACATCACTGAGCCTCTGCATGATGATAAGGTGAGTAACACACTTGGGTCCCCACACTGCAGGGGAAAGGACAATTCAGGACTGACCTTGCAGCTCAGGGACAGAGAAGAAGGTATGAGGGACTGTGTGTTGGAGGGGCTGGCTCCACTGGGGTCAGGATATGGGATGCTACTGTGGAGACACAAGGACAAAAGCGATGAGTCTCTGCTGCCCTCTCAGAAGGCAAAGCAAGGCACCAGGGAAGGACAGCACATGCTCCACGCTCTCCTCCCACTCCCTGGCCCTGTGACTGCCCGCCGGCTCAGGGCCTGCAGCACACACCTGCCCTACTGGGCTGTCTGCACTGAAGACTTGGAGGGATAATGGGTGGGAAGCACTGAGCACTCGGTCAAGCTGTCTCCAAACACGGGTATTACTGCTGTCATCATTACCTCACAGCTCACAGGAGGCCAGAGGATTCTGGGTCGCCCTGACCTCTGAGTCTGGCTGAGCTGGACAATAATCCTGCCTCACAATTAGCCCCAAACTGAAGGGGAGGAGAAACCGAGTAGGTGCTGAGTTGTAGCAGCTGCCAGGGAGAGCAGACCAGGTCTGATGGAAGGATGCTAAGAGCTGAATTCTGGGTGGGGTGAGGGAGAGAAGGAAGTTCTATGGAGGCAAGATGAAAACAGCAGCTGTGGGTGTGGCTGTGGACAGCTGGGCATAGGAAGGAGGCAAGGAACAGCCCAAGTTCCACAGAACATCCTCTCCCTGCTGGTGCTCTCTCGAAAGGCACCCCGGAGAATTAGTAAAATGATTTCCAGTGATGGATGCAGCAGGGCTCTGACATTTACAGGTCACTAGATCTCTTCAGGGCCAGCTGGGCATTTAAAAGCCTATGTAAACAGTGCCCTGTTAGAGGAAGGAGCCAACCACAGACAGGAAACCCTGAGGTGTGAAAATACCCATGTCACTTCTCAGTAGGAAGGAGCTGGGGTGGGGCCAGCTGAGATTAAGGCCCTGGCCCAGGGTGCCCAGTGGCCCCCACACAACAGCGGGGGTGCCTGGAATCAAGGGTCAGCAGGGGTGCCAGGAAGCCACACAAGCCTTTCTACTGTCCCTCAGGCGCTACCAGCCTGTTCACCACTCAGCTTTTTCCTTTACTGTCGTGCAGATCCTAGTCTTCCTACCACAACATTTGGGACACACAGCTTGCCCTGACTACCCAATCTAAATGAGCCAAGCCCCCCACCTACTGCACCCGTCCTCCCCCGACCCTAGCCCAGGCCATCAGCTGCGGAGGGGCCTCTTTGCTGAGAGGTTACCTCCATCACAGGACCTTCTTTGGCCACTCTCTTTAAAATCACCCACTCTCCTCTAGCTCTTGTTACCTCTCCCTGTTCTCTTCTGTCTGAAAAATCTAGGTATCTAATGATTTGTTTATACTCTCCCTCCTCCCCTGGAATATCACCTCCATGAGAACAGGGCTTACTGTCAGTTGTGTTTACTGCTGTATCACCAACATCTAGAAAGGTGCCTGGTATACAGTAAATGCCTGATGAATGAATGCATGAGGGTAAATGAATGTTTAAGAGCAGGGGCTCTAGCCAGACTGCCTAGGGCCTCATCCCAACTCTTTCACTTACTGAGTGATCTTGGACCATTTACCTAACATCTCTGTGCCTCAATTAAATCATTCAGTAAAAGGGGATATCAGCAGTACCTATCTCATAGAATTAGTGAAGGATTCAATAAGATTAGGATATAAAGAACTTAAAACAGTGCCTGACTCCTGGGAAGCACTCAGTTCCACACTAGCTGCCAGCACAGCTTTCACCACTAGCATTTCTTGCATATTTATTTGCTCATTTGTTTATCATTTGGCTCTCTCCACTCCAGTGTCAGCTCCAGCCTGCCTTGTTCACTACTCTATCCCCATCCCTAGCAAAGCGTAGGAAGAGGAAATCAGGCCTCCTCCTGAGTCCTGAAGCACGGAGCTGTGGAGACAGCTTCAGCTTAGAGTGGGAGCCTCACCGATCTGTTTCTCCAGGGCAGCTGCTTCACAGACCGTGGCCCGGGGCAGGATCCCGGGGTCGGTGAAACTCGTCTGCAGCAGGCAGCTTATGACAAAGAAGAAGAGGATGGCAGCGATGATGGGGATGGCGAGGGTCAGTTTGCTGGCCAGGTAGGGACAGCTAGAAGGAGAGATGGAGAGAGAGTGATTAGCAGAAAACCCAAAGGCTCCCAGGCCTCTCCCCATACAGCTAAGCCGCTTCCTGGTGAGGGTAGCCACTCCCCCTATAACTGCCTGGGACGGACATCACTAATTGATTCTTGTACACACACCTCCACTCCAGGGCAGATGTGACCAACAGATAGAAACAGGGTCTCCCCATGTAGCCCAGTCTGGCCTTGAACGTGTAACCATCCTCCTGGCTCAGCCTCCCAAGTGCTAAGATGACAGGTATGCGCCACCATGCCCAACACTAGCACTCTTTCTTTTTTTGGTACTGAGGATTGAACTCAAGACCTTGCACTTGCCAAGAAGACACTGTGTCACTGAGTTAAATCGCCAGCCCGAGCAGTATTTCTTTTTAAGAGACAATTTCAGGGTTTCATTTTGCTATGTTGCCCAGACGGGCCCCAAACTCCTAGGTTCAAGCAATCCTCTCACCTCAATCTCCTGAACATCTGGGTCTATAGGTGCACCCCTGCACTCAGCTTTGATCCCGGCACTTAGCTGTAGCCTCCAAACCCTGCTAAACCCAGAGCTCCACACAGCCACAGCCAATGAAGTGGACATCACTGAGATGAACCATACAGCAACATTAACTGACTCATTCATTTAGTCACTCACTCCACAAATATTTACTGGGTTCTCTTTTGTGCCAGGCAACACTTTCAATAAGTGGCAGGAATAATGGCCACAGATATGACAAGAGTTCCTCCCCCATGTGGCCTATGGTCTAGTGGGGGAGAGAGACGTGTAAACAGAGAATTGCCACACAGGTGATGTGTGCTCTCCCTGGAGAGGGGAAGACAGAGGAGAGGAAAGGTTCCTTGAAGGAGACAATGCAGAAGAATAAGCAGAGGGCTGAGTTCAGCCACTGCTTCTGTCAAACAAGGGATGTAACCATAAAGGGGTCTGTGGGGTACCCTGACCTGAGTTGGTTCAGGGAGCAGCCTATGCCTACTGGATGCACAGGCCTCCTCTCCAACAGGCAAGCTGCCTACCACAGGGCTCCACATCCCCCAAGCCCCTTCCTCCATTTCACAGCTAGAACATTCTACAACTTCTGGACATGGTGGGGGTGTGGCTTAAAGATGGAATAAAGCAACCAGGGCCCTCTAAGGCCAGTCTTCTCTGTCGTCACTCCACTGTCCATGCAGGAGCCAGAGGCACACTTTGGAAATGTAAATCAGGTCCCTGCTTGACACTCTTAAAAAGCTTCCCATTTTATATATATGGTGAGTTTGGGGGAGTTTTGTTTTGTTTTCAGTACTGGGGACTGGTATTCAACCACTGAGCTATACCTCCAGCCCTATTTATTTACTTTCTTACTTGTTTATTTTCTTACTTGTCTAGTGGCACAAGGGATTGAACCCAGGGTCTCTGCTCTGAGCTACACCCTGAGCCCTTTTACATTTTTCATTTTTAGAGAGTCTCCCTAAATCACTAAATTTCCCAGACTGGGCTAGAACTTGCAATCCTTCTGCATCAGCCTCTCAGAGTGCTGGGATTATAGGTATGTGCCACCACAATCCACTTCCAGCCCTTTTTATTTTATTTTGAAACAGGATTTCAATAAGTTGTCAAGGCTAACATCAAACTTGCCATCCGCCTGCCTCAGCCTCCCAAGTTGCTGGGATCACAGGAATGCACTACTAAGCTCAGCCCCATTAAATTTTCAATAAAACTCAAACTCCACACGATAGCCTTCTAGGCCAGGCATGATCTGGACCTTACTGAAGGTTGCTACAGTCTCATTCCATGAAACTCTCCCCACCCCTCTATTCCCTTTACAATAGCTTCAAGACAGGTCCCCAAGCAAACCTGACTCTTGCACCTCAGGGCTTTTGCACTTGCTGTTCCTTTTCTCTGGAATGTTCGTCTTTCCTCAGAAGGATCTTCTTTGACAACTCTGTACACAGTAGATCTCCCTAATACTCTTTATTTCCTGGATGGCATTTATTAAAACATTAACTGAGGGCCGGGGATTTAGCTCAGCAGTTCCGCTGCCTGCCTCGAAAGCGCAAGGACCTGAGTTTGATCCCTGGTACCAAAAAAAAAAACATTAACTGCTGATGCGTTGAATACCTTTTCTATGCCAGGACACGAGCTCCTGTGAGGGTACAGACCCTACCTCCTTACTTACCTTACATTCCCAACACAGCAAGTGAGCACCTGGACCAAGAAGGTACCCAATAAATAACTGAAAAACCAATGAACTGTGTTCACTCCTGCAAGAACACAGAACTTAGCTAGCACCCTTTAAAGGCTTACTATGTACCAGACTCTGATGTCATCAATAAGTTATTATTAATAACATCTGAAGTACAGCTACCATATACTAGGTTTTACACTAAGCAAGTCACATACACATTCTCATCATCTCTCTCTTTTTTTTTTGGTACTGGGGATCAAACTCAGGGCCTTGCGCTTGCGAGGCAGGCAGCAGAACCACTGAGCTAAATCCCCAGCCCTTCTCATCATCTCTTTACCATGACCCTCTGAAGTTATGCTCCTCACTTTACAGATGAAAAATGAAAACTCAGAGAGCTTAAGTAACCTGCCCAAGGTCACATGGTTCAGGAGTGCTGAAGTGGGACTCAAGCTAGGTCATATGAGGCACATATATCTATAAATACATATATATTTGGTTTTTTTCCATATTCTATTAACTACCCTCCCTCCTGGAGCCAGAGTGGACCTGATAGGCTGGGAGCTGCTGTCTGAGAGATGACTGGCTGCTGGGAAGACTAAGACAGCCAAGGTTCCAGGAGCCAGCACAGAAGCAGGCAGCAAACCCAAAGCCTCCATCCTCAGATGCTCTGGCCTCCAGGGAGGCTTTTTCCCTGAGGAGCAGGGATGCCCAGTGGGCCACACTCTCCTCCATACTTCTCACTGCTCCTAGGTCTGACCCTCAAACAGAACCACCCCGGCCTTCGATGTGACCCACAGGGCAACTCATCCAGTTCATGTACAACCAGACTTCTTAGCCAGGCATGGTGGCATGCATTAATAATCCCAGTGCTTGGTGACTGAGACAGGAGGATCATGAGTTTGAGGCCACTGGGGCAACCTAGCAAGTTCATAGCTGGCCTGGACTAAGGTCCCTATTTGAAAACAAGAACAACAGAAAGACAACCAGAGTTCTTTTAGGGATGGAGAAGACTTGAAATCTGAGACTTAAAGAACTTTCAGGAAACATCAAGCCCTAGCTCCCTGATTTCTCTGAAGCAGGCTCCTTGGCCCACAGCTAGACTGAAGATCACTAGCCAGCCAATGACAGACCAGGGTCTCTGGGCTCCCAGCAAATGATCTGTCCAGTCATTCAACAAGTACTGTTGCGCTGAACACCTACTGCATACCAGGCACTGGTTCTAGGTACTGAGGGTACAACAGTGAGAATACCCTGCTCTCATGCACAGACAGGCAAGAAACTATCAAACAGTATACATATGGGGCCGGGGATTTAGCTCAGTGGCTCCACTGCCTGCCTCGAAAGCACAAGGTCCAGAGTTTGATCCCCGTTACCAAAAAACAAAACAGTATACTCATGGTGCGGACTCACAGGGAGAGTAGGGCATGAGGTTACTGGAAGGGAGAGTATTCGAAACAGTGCAAAGCTCTGCAATAGGAATGTTTGGCAGGCTGATGAGCCTAGAGGGGAACATACAGCAGTGCAGTTGGAGGGAGAGGGAGCAGGGCCAGAGGAAGCCCACTGTCAGAGTCTAGCTCTTTATCTGGACAGTAAGGAGGACTGGATCCGACTTAGAATTAAAGGGGCATGCTGGCTGCTGTGTGGGGTTGGGAAGTAGGGCAGAAGCCTAGGGCTCTGCTGGGAGGCCTGTAGAAACAATCCACCAAACTAACAAGGATGCAAGGAAGGCCTGAGAGAGCCCCAGCACCTTCTCCCAGAGCAATGGGGCAATGTGAGCATCTCTCACTCTCCCTGTCCCCACTAAGGGGATTTCCAGTGCTCCAGGTCCTCACTGGAGTTTCACATCAGTCTAGACCTAGCTGAACTCTGGGCCCCAATCAAACCCTGCTGCAAAATCCACCACCCCAAGTGAGGACAAGCGGGGACAAAAGGCAAAATGATTCACAAGCTCTTGCCTTACTTCCTCCCTGGAAGGGGACAAATCAATCACCAGTAAAGGTAAAGCTAATTACTCAGCCACAGAAGGTCCAGCTTCTAAACCAACTGAGTATCACACTGCAGGGTCACAGGGTCAACCACAGCAAGCACTGCTTCCTCCTGCCTCAACCACAGCCCTGGAGGTGGATGGGGCTCTGAAAAAGGTGCTTCCACAAGCAGCCAATGTGGCTGGCTGGGCCAGGTGGATCTGAAACTCAGCCCAGGGGCCATGCTATGGGCTGCGGGCACCAGAGCTTCTGCTTGCAAATCATCCCTTAACTTTTTTTTTTTTTTGGTACCGGATATCAAACTCAGGTCCTTGTGCTTGTGCAGCAGGGGGCGAAACCACTGAGCTAAATCCCCAGCCCTATCCCTGAACTTTTTATACACCCTCACTCAGAAAAGGGAAGAGCAGTGGAAGAGTGAAAAGGAGAAGCCAATTTATAGGAAGTCTTCACCTTGCTTCAAGGGGAAACCTAAGGCTCCAGATACATGATCTGGCAACTGGGAGCTGGTGTCTCTGTGGCGTCTCACCATGGACACATGCCCTTGGGAGGTGCTTTTTGGTGAAGACAACAAGTAGAGCAGCAAACATCAGGTGCTTGTTACTAGGCTAAAGTGTGTGTGTGTGGCCTCATGCTAACCTCATGACGACTCCAGGGGGTGGGTTACTAAAAGTTTGGTTTACAGATGAGGAAACTGGGGCCCTGAGACGTGAAGTGACTGCCCTGAGGTCACACAGTCAGTGGGTGGTGGAGCTGGTCTGCTGGCTCTAGAGATGGAACTCTCAACCACACTGCATAATAGAGGAAGGTGACCACAAGGGATGGGGAGATCGAGGAGGGGCCTCCTGGGGTGGGTGTGCATGGGTGGGTGGGAGCTCTGAGCCTAGGAATCAGCCTAGGAATCAGACGCGGGGGGGGGGGGGGCTAGGAAATTTCCAGTGCACCTATGTGGTCCTGATAAGCAAACTGATAAGCATCTATAATCCCTGGTCACTGGGAAGATGAAGAGGTCAAAAACTCCTGGGGGGAAATAAGACCTGTCATAGGAAAGCACTGTAGGGTTTCCTGAAAAATCAAAAGGCACTGCAGCTGCTTGTGAATGTTGAGAAGGGAAAGAAAGGGGGGAAGCCAGGATGGAGGGTGGGGGCCTGGGGGGACCAGGGGGGCCAAGGGAAGGGCAGGAAACTCGGGAGAAACTAAGGAAGGTGCTGGAGAAGCAAGAAGAGGCCTGAAGCCCAAAGATGCTTGAGGGAGGATGACTTGGGGCCTAGGGTGAACATGATTGAGGGAAGGGGGTCCTGAAAGGAGACAGGACCCCGGGGGAACCAGGAAAAGGTAAAGAAACGCCCAGGAATTCATGGTGGGGTGTTAGAAGCCAGAGATTTGAAGCTGTCTGGAAGGCCTAAGAGGGAAGATGCCTTGAGGGGTCAGAAACATTTCGGGGGATGGGGAAGAGAGGGCCAGGGAAGAGAAGGGATCTAAGGACCGTGGGACAGGGGTGGGGTGGGGTTCTGGGAGAACAGGGGTTGTACGGAGGCACGAGGGGGCAGTGTCCCCGCAGAGGCTGGCAAGGACAAGCAGGCAGGGTCCAGAGCAGGGCAGGCCAGGACCTGGTTGCTGGGAGGGGTGGAGGGGACCAAGGCGAGCAGACACGAGATGGGCAAGGGGACCGGCGGGCTGGGACTGTGGGGTGCCCAGTCAGGGGGAATGGGGCGCGCGGCAGCCGCGAACTCACTCGAAGACGAAGAAGAGGATGGTGGTGCTGAGGATGAGCAGCAGCGTGAGCGCGAAGACGCCGCCGTGACCGGCCAGCATGAGGCGGCCGCCGCAGTAGAAGCGGTTGCGGCCCGGGAACACCTCCCACTTGCGCCGCGGACGGCGCCCCAGGCTCCCGCTGCCGCTCCCACTCCAGCGCGGCACGGAAGGCGCGGGTCCGGGGCCCGGGGCGGGGGGCGCGGCGGGGCCAGGGCCGGGGTTGGGGCGGCGCGCCCCGGGGGAGGCGGGCGGTGGGGCGGCCCCGGGGCTGATCTGCTGGTACTCGCAGTCCTTCATGCGGCCGGCCGCGGGCCTCGGCTCCGCGCCCCGCGGGCCGGCCGGGCCGCTCCAGGACCGGGCCGAGGAGCGGAGGTGGCGGCGGCGCGCGACGCTCGCTCTAGGGCTCGCTGGGTCCCGCCCCGCCCCGCCCCGCCCCGCCCCGCCCCCTGGCCCGCGCGGCCTCCGGCCGCAGCGCCCCCTCCGCCGGGGCCCGGGATGGCGCTCCTAAGGCAGGGCCTGGCCCGAGCGGGGCCGCAGCCAGCACCTCCCGCTCTAGGAGCGGTCGGCCCGCAGATGCGCGCTCCAGGGCTCTTTCTCTTCTTTCGCAATCAAACCGTTGGTTAGGAGGCCACTGGGTGCCAGGCACCGTGCCAAGAGCCGAGATTCAGGTGGTGGCCCAATCTGTGATTCCAGGGCCAGGCTTCGACTATCTCTGGGGACTGATTGGAGGACAGGGGGCGGGGGAGCAATAAAGTCAAGGTGCCCAGTGGATGTGTGTGGCCCACCCCCTGGCCTCCACCACCCAGCTGTGTCCTGGGCCCACTCCCAGACAGGGCTTCCTATGTATCACCTAAGGCAGGGGTCATTCCCGAGGGCCCCGGTATTTTTTCAGGAATTCTGCGGGTATTAATCTTCTGCTGTGGAACAAATTACCACAAATTTAAGACTTAAAACAATGCACCTATTATCTCATGGGTCCCAGGTCACGAGTCCAGAAACAGGTTACCTAAAACTTTAGCTTGGATTCTCACAAAACTACAATCAAGGTGTTACCCAGGCTGCACTCTCATCTGGAGACTCCAATGAGGAAAAATCTACTTCAAGCCCATTGCTGGGAAGATTTGTTTCTTGAGACCGGATGACCAAGGGCCTGGAGTTTTGCTGGCAGACAGAATGAGGCTTCCCTCAAATTCCACCTGCAGTTCTAGCGATTAGTAGAGTCTCCAGCTCCAGTCTGCTAAGACAAAGTTTTGTTTTGTGGTACTGGGAATGAACCCAAGGCCTTGCATACTAGGCAAGTGCTCGACCACTAAACTATATTCCCAGCCCTAAGACAGAGCTTTGTGTACTGTGACAGGAATAATGTGTTGTCACCTTTGCCCTAGTCTATGGTTAGAAGCAAGTCACAGGTGCTTCTTAACTCAAGAAGAGTAGATCACACACAAGTGGAACATCAGGGGACAGAAATCACTGGGGGTCATCTCTTAGGGTTTGTTCCTCACACTGGGGTTACAACAAAACCTAAGAGAAGGTGTAGGAAAAGAGAGCTGGAGAATAGCATAGCACAGATTATGAAAGGAAGTCAACATCCACAATGGAGAGTGGTAGGAAGTCAACAACAGTAACCTCAAGGATCACTAATTGGTACATGCACAAGGCTCCCCAGGCACAACCTTGGTGCCAAAGGCATTTGATTTGATGAGCCCCACCTTGGAGTGAACCAAGTCATAAACTTCTTACACTTTTGCTTCTCAGTTGTGAAACAAAGGCACAAACTACACATCCTGGGTCTAACACAAATTCCTTCATCCCACATCAAATAGGTCCTCTTGCCACCCTAAATCTTTTATTTCTTGTCACTTTACAGAAACCAAAGCTATCCTCCTTGATTTTCAGTGTTCCTTGTATCTCAGATTGTCTCTTGGAAAATGGATGCTCCTTGAGACCATAATGTTAAATGAATGGATTTTTTTTTTTTTTTTTTGGAACTGGGGATTGAACTCAGGTCCTTGAGCTTGCAAGGCAGGCGGCAGAACCACTGAGCTAAATCCCCGACCCTCATGATGTTAAATGAAATACATCAACACACAAGTTTAAATATGGCATGATTGCCGGGTGTAGTGGTGCACGCTTGTAATCCCAGCACTAGGGAGGCTGAGGCAGGAGGATTGCTATGAGTTCAAGACCAGACTGAACTACATAGTGAGACACTGTCTCAAAAAACAAAACAATGGGTGGTAGTATATGCCTGTAATCCCAACACTCAGAAGGCTAAAGCAGAAGGATTCCAGTGAATTTGATGCCAACCTGAACTATATAGTGAGACCCTGTCTCAACAAACAGAAACAAGGGGCCGGGAATTTAGCTCAGTGGTTCTGCCGCCTGCCTCACAAGCGAAAGGTTCCAAGTTCGATCCCTGGTACAAAAAAACAAAACAAAACAGAAAAAACTGATTCAGAAGATTTAGCCAGGGATTTAGCTCAGTGGTGCCACCGCCTGCCCCTCAAGCACAAGGACCCAAGTTCGAGCCCCAGTACCAAATAAATAAGTAAATTTGTAAAACAAAAACAAAAATAGCTACCACTTTATTGTTATCTATGGCTTCGTAACATTTTTACAACTTGGCCTCTTCTACAACACTATTCTAAATCTTCTGTCTTGGATGTCACCAGTGACCCATTTAGTGTGGTAAAAACTACTTGTTCTCATTGACACTCACAGTTCCCAGCCCCTATCACAGATACTCAGGGCCATGTAATTGAATTCTAGCTAATAAACCTGACAGGTACTACTCCTAGACTAGCTCATAAAACTCCCAGGTATAGCCAAGCACAGTGGAACATGCCTGTAATCCCAGCACTCTGAGAGCCTGAGGTAGGAGGATCACATGTTTGAGCCCAACCTGGGTAATTTATCAATTTAGTGAGACTCTGTCTCAAAATAGAAAATAAAAAGTACTGGGCCAGGGATGTAGCTGAGTGGCGCCATGCCTGCCTGGCAAGTGCAAGGTGTTAAATTCAATCCCTGGTACGAAAGAAAGAGAGAGAGAGAGAGAGAGAGAGAGAGAGAGAG